TTTGAATTAATATTATATCATCATTTAGTCATGCTGCACTTTTTAACCTAAATTTCTCTGAGTTGAGTATTAGTTGCCTTGCTACCATTTAGTTGCGTCGTTTGTCATCATATTTTTATGTAAATGTACTTTAGTACATTTGTTCATACAATTTATGTTATTTGATTAGCCAACTTCTTAGCATTTTATTTGTATTTTTATATATATTATTTATTTATTAATTTCTTTATAATAATAATAATATCTATTATTCTTTATTAAATTGATTTATTATACATTTTTCTTTAATTGTGGTACTGTTAATTAGTCTTTTTGTTTTGAATTCAAATTATCGCTCTGTTATCTTGTCTTTATATTTGCATCTTTGTTTCCAGGAGGACCCACTTGTAAACGAGATGCGTCATTTCAAGTGGTTTTATCCTCCTTAAAGAGCAAGTCACCCCCAAATCAACTTTTTTTTGCTGATAAACTATATAAATGTGTGTTTAATTGTGCTGCAGACATGTGTAGTCAATAATTTGGTACTTTAGTGCATCTTAGTTAAACTTTAAATATTCTGCCTAAAACTGTCGGTGTTGTGCCGTCGTCAGGCAAAAACTCTGCACTGCATTTTAATCTAAATCTGCTATCACTATTGGCTAAGAGGTATGCTATGATGTAAACTGGTACATTATGATGTCACAATGCTGTCGTGAGCCTGTGTGTGTGTGTATTTGTTAGCAGCTCTGCCTTCTCGGTCTGCCAGGCAACAGCATTTGTTGCATTTTTCAAACATGAAGTGGGAGTGGAGTTAGACTCTGGTAGGGGTTGACTTGCTCTTTAAATATAAGTCAATAAATAAATAAATAAATAAATAAATAAATAAATAAATAAATAAATAGTAAAAATAAGCGATCTGCAACAAACTACCTTGTGTTGCCTTCCTCATATCACACTGCAAACCAAACAACAGCCTTTTACAAGCCTGGAAGCCTACAGCTGTTTTATTTCAGGTTGGTTCACCTTTTATTGATCCGGATAAGCTTTACATGACCATCGTCTTGTTTTTGCTTGGTAGTGAGCTGTGCTACTTCAATTCATTAGCTCATGATTATAATGCTGTTGCTAATGCTAACAATCAGTATGTGCTAGGATCTACTTGTAACTAACTTTTTATACCTTTTAAAACCAAAATTCTGGTTGGGTTGTTTGATTTTAATAAGGTATAAACACTACGTTACAACACTAAGCTAACTGCTAAAAACATTAGCACTCTCAAAGCTATTTCCAGTGAGGCAGCTGCCGTGGGAGCATATTTCCTCTAGGGGGTGCTGTGATCAGCCACATACAAAAAACCGCACATGTGTTTAACATACACATATATGTATGTGTAATACTAGTAAGCCTCAATTATTCTTGGTTCATTCTTCAACATAACAGCAGCTTATTACCATTAACACTGGGAAACCCACAAATAACAAGTCAAAACTTCCAGAATCCACACCGAACCGCACGTTGGCATGGAGCTGCTGCTCTGCAGCTCTTCAGACAACAGATCTGACACCTGAGTGCGTATCAACAGAACCACCCTCCAAGAACATCTCCTTATGTAATGGAAACTAAAACCAAAACAAAACCTGTTCCTTATGTACACGTGACACCACAGAAAAACTGTTTCAGACGGATATCAGCAAACGTCAGTGCAGTAGCGGTTCACCTTTCAGTAGTTTTAGCTCCATTTTGCACGCTTTTTTTTTGTTTTACAGCACTTTGTGTTCTGCATCTGAAGGTTTGAACTTTGAGAATGTGTAAAGACGAGAGAAAAGTGAAAACGTTAATGCATATCTGAAAAAAGAGCATAAGGCCTGTAGTGAGGGGCTTTTGCGGCGGTGCGCTGGGACGAGAACGTCTGTGGGGAGAGGAGTGTTCTGTGCAACAGCGGGAGCGCATCAGTAACCTGCGCTCCCGCACAGGAGGAGGAGACGCAAATCAGCTCCAATGCTAGAAACAAAACAGTTGAGAAACGGAGTCTGGTGTGTTTTCGTGTGTGACCCAAAAGGTAGCTGCGTACGCTAAACATGTAAAAATGAAGTTGACTACTTTGTGGATTTTACGGGTTATTTTTGGAACGTAACTCACGTGACTAAGGACCACTGTAACGAGCACAGATCTGATCAACCTTTCCACACAGAGTGAAAAAAAGAGCAACAATGGAATCGGTCTTACTTACTTTTATGATGACACAAGTGTTCCTGAGTGCCAGAAGTGTGCTGATGAAACGCTGCATCATCATGTCTCATATATCCAACTGTTCCATAACATTTCCACACAGGTGCACTACGTAAATAAATGTTACGCCGGTTTACATCTAAGCGACGGCCACATTAATTACCGGAAAACCAACATGGAGGTCTTCTTCGAAAAGCAATGATTATGAGTAAAATAGCAAAAAAAAAAAAAAAAAACAACAACAACATCTAAATACACGAACAAAACGGAATAAAGACAATCTAGTGAGTTTCTCATCCCGATAACAAATCAACAGACAAATAAACAAGTGTCCCTGTGTGTGTACACTAGGGCTGCAAAAAACGATTATTTGGATAATCGATGAATCGGATGGGGTCTCGACACGATTAATCGATTAATCGCATTACATGGGGAAATTTTTTAAAACTGCTAGGGAAACATTATTTCTCTCCTTCCTTCACTTTATTAAACACAACATTATTAGAAAACAGTTCAATAGCAGAAAAACAACATGCCATCACCTAAATTGTCTTATAAGGTGTATAGACAGAGACCCTAAGCTACATCTATCTGTGACCTAAAATGCTTGGTCCAAGTTAAACAGCTTAAGGGCAATTCTCATCTGTTTTGTTTGATCTCATCTGTTAACATTTATTTTAAATGTAATTAAACATAGGCTGTGAATTAATCAAAATTGATCACTATTTCCAAAAATGACTGAAAAAATACCAAATAAAACAAAAGTAAATGAATGCCATCCTCCTTGCGATGATGCCCTGGGCAACTGCCATAAAGTCACATCAAGAAATGCTGCTGATCATTCCAATGATCCCAAATAGACTCACATTAGGCCACATGAAAGCAACTGAACCCAAAAATATATTAACCAGTATATAACTGCACTCTCACACAACACGCCTGCAGCAACAGTTAGGACTCCTCCCTCCCTTTTAAAAGCGTTTTTGCTTCTGAGGACATTGTGGTTGTAAAACCACATGCTAGTAGTCTGGCCCCGGTGTGATCAACCAGTTTCTGCGGGAATGTGACGGCGGAACCAGGGCCAGATTAACACTTTGTTGTACCCTGGGCAACAATATTCAAGGGCTCCATCATCACGACCCAAGGATCACCATAATGTGGTCACATACAGAATATTTTACTGTAATATGCAGTAAATATACTCAATACTTGAATGCCTGACAACACGTAACCCGCCCAGAGTAACCTTTGACCCACCTCGTGTGGACTGACCAATGAGGAGAGGGTCTTAACTTGAGGCCCTCTCTTCATTGGTCAGTCTGCATGAGACTGACTCTCAACTGACATTCAGTCGTAGGCAGCGAAGCGTCTCTGTGCAGTGCAAAAGCCCGGGTGGACAGTTTGTTTAATGTAGGGTGACCATATTTCCATTTCCAAACAAGAGGACAGGGGATCTGTGCCTATGACGTCACACTATGGCAACGCCACACAAACCATGTTGGGACCCATTTTTTGTAAGAACTAAATTAATATCAGATTCTGCCAATAAAAGGGCTCTAAAACAATTCATATGTAAATATTTTGCATATTTAATGCAAAATCTAATTTTTCTGCTTTACTGCTGCAACAAGGTTTTATTAATAATAAATTATTATACCTTTTGTTTTACTACAGCATCGGTAAGCTTCCTGTGCACAGATTATTAAGGATGCTTGTTTCAACTGTGAGATTAGATGATAGGATCAATGAAAAAATAAGTTGTCACACACTCCATGGAAACTTTCAGAGAATCCACAAATAGTGGCTTTCACATGGTTTTGTTACTTTTTGCAAGTTTAGAAAAGCAGCAGATGAGACAGCATGTCTGATAATTTAGTTTTTCATCTGATAATATTAGAACATGTCAGTAATGTCTGAGGGGCTTTTATAAACACCGTATAACTAACACTACTGGAGAGGGTATGGATTACACAGAGGCTTCTGGGGAGCCCAATTATTGGGGGGGGGGGGGGGCTTTTGGAAGAGTTGTGCGACACAACGAATCGATGACGCAATTCGTTGCCAATGCTTTTAGTAATCGATTTTCATCGAATTTATCGATTCGTTGTTGCAGCCCTAGTGTACACACATATCTTATACAAGCTAGCTCAGCATATGTTTGACATACAAAAATGTATTTGAAAATAATAAATATGTATTCGTAGTTGTGTTCAGTTAAACTCAAAATGATGTATAATAAATTAATTTTACTTTTGCAGAATACCAACATGCATATAATTTGTTATCCACAAGGGGGTGCTGCAGCACCCTCAGCACCTCACTTCCCATGGCCTTGCAGTGAGGACACGTGAAAACAGTATAAAACTGTTAACTTGTGGTTTTTATGGCTGTTCCTAAGCAACAGTTTAATAAAACACTCAGTAATCTCTTAGCTGGTAGAAAGTGATAGCTGTAAACTCCACCACTGTCCGTCTCAGCTCCTGTTTGAAGCCGTAGCTTACTGATCCACCTCTGCCGTCTTCTTTCAGTAGTTTTTATTAATTAAGTCCTTGTGGCGGACTACATTCAGGACTTGGAGAAAACGTTTGTGTTTGTCCCGGTTAGAGTGATTTTAATAACCGTATACCGCAGAGAATTTCGGCATTTTAACGCCCTGTCACCAAAGTAAACAGTGGGTTGTGCAGCACCGTCTACTTCCGGACTCCATCTGCATTTGGTGACGTAGTTGCAACGTCATGTGAAACCCAGCAATGGCCATTTGTAGGAGAGCCCTTTTAGCCAATCAGAGGCGAGAAGGGCGACACCTGCCTTGGACATCCTACGATTCATCAGCTTCCTGCTGTGCTCACACTTCTTGCCAGTGTGCAGCGGTCCCAGCCCGTTTAAACGGACCAGGACCGGAACCAGGAGACTAACCCATCAGCAGACCCAGAAAAAAGGAAGCTACGGTGGCGGTTGTCATTTTGCAAACGGAGGGTAAGAGCGCGCTTTGTTATGTGTGTGGTCAGTTTCACCTTGTTTCCTGAAGACTGATGGGCAGGAGGAAGCTGCAGAGCCTTCCCCTGCTGCTGCTGCTGCTAGTGCTGATGACCGCTGATCAGAATCAGCATGGTCAATATAACAACAACAACAACAACAACAACAATTATTATTACAATAATAAAACAGATGTTAGTGCTGGTGCCCGAGGGGCTGCGGTGGTGTGCAGGTCCACTGGGCCGCTCCGCCCTGCGGAAAGCTGAGCCTGGCTGATAATAATAACAACAACAATAATAATAATGATTATTATTATAATTATTATCAGCCAGGCTCAGCTTATTATTATTGTTGTTGAAGATATTGTTTAATATGTTTTTGATATTGTTTATGACACACGCAGCGCAGCTGACCTGCTTGCATTGTGCTGCGGCTTGTGGGACCAAAGATGCGCGCGCGCGCGTCTTTGTGCGGGTGGGTGGTTGCTAAGGAATGACCAAGGACCTGGTGGGAACATGTTGCGCGTGCAGGCCGGTGAGGCTCAAGCTGGAGCTTCCTCCGGTTCTGTGTGTGTGTGTGTGTGTGTGTGTGTGTGTGTGTGTGTGTGTGTGTGTGTGTGTGTGGTGGGGGGTGGCCTCTGAGCTCTTAGTCATGTTAGGATGGATTGTAATTAAACTTATCCTGAATACATGACCACCACTAGTGCGTAGGAGGGGCTTCTCTATAAACACACAGGATAAAGATGTACGGTACCTGTGATGTTCTATTGTTATTGCCTCATGAAAATCACCCCAGAAGCAGTTTTTGGCGGCATGCATGCGTTTTCCTGTCTTACCCCGGGTTCACATTGAAAACATCAGCAGCGTGCAACAGCAGCGGAATGTCACCGTTTCATATAGAACCAGTTATAGTCTGTGGACTGTTTCAGACCAGCAGCGACACAATAATTTCCAGGCGTGAAGATAGATCGGGTTCTATTTTTCAAGCGAACCGCTTCTATGACACGTCAATTTGTACACTTAAGATTGCTAGGCAGGAAAATCGCACACTGTTTCAGTGTAAAGTCCATGATCATTTTCAAAATAAAAGTACTGCAGCAATGCAGTTTCATATATATGAACCTTACATGTGTTACTTTTCTTCCCCTGCCCCAAATCTCCTAACTGTAGTACGGAGGCTGAACAGGCATGTTGGATCCTTTGTTTTATATCCCTTTATTTCGTTCTTGTTTGGTCGAACATTAACAGCTCACACACACAAGAATCCGCGCTAAGAAAACAGACTGCTGACTAGAGCCCTGCACTGAAGCCCTAGGCCCTCGGGTCGGCCCGGCCCGACGGCCCGACGGCCGGGCTTCGGGCCAACGACTGTGTAATTACCTCGGACACGGGCCGGGCGCCTTTATTTTTAATCGAATTCATAAAAAAAATTGAAACACAAACGCAGCAGTAGAGCCCTGCGCGGGACTGTTTTCTTCATCCCGCTCCTGCTGAATTTCTGACCATTACCGCCTGCAACTGCAACGTTAAACTCCCGCCTGCACCCGTAGCGTGCATGTCTACTCCCGCCTGCACCCGTAGCGTGCATGTCTACTAGGGCTGTTGCAATAATCGCAAGAACAATATATCGCGATATTAAGAAACCCACCGCGCTGCATGACGTGCCACCGCAATTACCGCACTTGATTAAATCTCGCGACAGCGCATGCTGAGAGGTAAAGTCCGCGCTGATCGAGGAGATAGTAGGGCACTTTTTTTAATTTCTGTTAGATGTTGCAGCCAAATTTGCATTTCAAAGTTAAACCTCCTGAATGTTGTTTTTAAGTTCAGTCAGAGAATGCCGTTACTGCCCTTCGATCTGCATTCAATAAAGTGTTAAAAATGGCCATGTAGTTTTCTAACATGTTTTAAATGTGTAAGCACAATGTTTCAAAGGAAATATTGCCATGAGTTTAGTAATTAACAAACAAATTTGCTAAGTACATAAATAAAAACGGGGTTCAATAATATCGCATACCGCAATATTGAGCTGCCCTGACTCACCGCAGGGGGAATTCCTCAATCGCGACAGCCCTAATGTCTACTCCGGGCCCACAACCGCAAAACTCGGAGAAATGATTACCTCACAATAAAAGAGATGTATCGAGTTTGCGTCCTCTCTGGTCCTGGAGAAAACATGTCACAACCTGCGGCTCTTCCATCCATCTGATGTGGCTCTCTGTGCTTGTAAAATAATGAATGGATGTTTAAATAAAATGCTTTATATTTTACTGCATTAATTTTATATCTGTAAGCCAATTCTATGTAAAGATTGTCTGCGTAAACCTGAACAGGCCCAACCCGGTCTTACTGTGAGACCGGGTTGGGTCACGCATGTGCGTAATCATATGCGCTTCCTGAGCTGAAGAGATTCTGGGCTTCTCCTGGATGACACATTGGAGACAGGAACAAGCGCTATTCAGCTAAAGTTTCATAATCAGGGAACATTTTCTAAGTGACAAGTCTCTCTGAGAGACAGGGTTTGGAAAACACTCGCTTCAGTGGGAGGAACCTTCCCGCATGCGCTCTGGTTCTGCAACGCGCTCCAAACCAATCTCCACAACTTCAGCTCGCTGTGCACATATGCGCTGACAGCGAGCTGCGCTGAGCAGCTCAGATGTTCAGATGGGAATCTTTTAGCTACATCTGTGATGTGCGAAACGAATAAAATGTCAGTTCGTCTGCATGCGTCGGGGTAATTCTTTCTATTCTTTCTCCGTCAAAATAAACGGTCAAATACGGGAACTATCCAGTCAACACAAGCCCGCTTTTGACTGTTCTGTTTGGAGCCTGGCAATCACCTGCCGCGATGAATCTATATTTCAAGTAGGACTCCAGGTATTGTCTGTTAAATACAGCTTTCTTCTTTTTGGTAGTCGTAGTCTTCTTTTCTTTTGTCTCCTCACTGGGCCTTTTCCCTTTCACAAAGAAACTTTCAAGAGATGCTTGTTTTTTTACTCATTTTGCTAGCATAAGGGTGTGTTGTGTTTTGAGCGGTACCGTACAACGTGACCCAGGCAAGCTTCTACGCATGCATCAAGAGTGAGAGGAAGGTGGGTGTAATTAAGTGAATCCGGTCATTTTTCAAAATAAAATTCACTGTGTAATATTTTTTTTCTGTGCGAAAACACTGTGCGGCCCGGTATCAAATGACCCAAGGACCGGTACCGGTCCGTGGCTCGGGGGTTGGGGACCTCTGATGTAGGGCATGTGGAGCTCCATATCTACACATCCACTCTGACACTATCTTTTCCACAACAGTCACTGCCTGTTCATTGGGTACAGGGTATGCTTCCACCCACTTACTGAAATAGTCTTGTACAACTACAATGAAGCGATTGTGTCGGTCAGTCTCGTTTAATGGCCCCATGAGGTCAACTGCCATCCTTTCCATGGGTGCTCCCACCTACACGGAACCCATAGCCGCCTGCGGCGTTTTCTTTGTACGAGCCTTAGCAGCACAGCTTGTGCATGTACGACACCACAGAGTCACGTCGTCCCTCATATTGTACCAGTAGTACCTGGTTTTAACACGCGCTAGAGTCCTCCCCCAAAATGTCCCCTGACTGGACCATCGTTCATCTGCAGCATTACAGCTCTACGTAATGAGTGGGGTAGTATGATCTGGAAGTAAAAAGTCTTTCCTTCAGGGCAGAAAAGCTTTCTAAGTAACACCCCATCCTTAATGTACAGTCTTTTCCACTGTGACCAGTAAGCTTTTGTGGTGGGGCTATGGGTGGCTGTGGTTGACCATGATGGACCGTCCTCCCCATTAACCACCCAATGCCAAACTGGTGCAATATCAGAGTCGCTCCTTTGGGCTGTGCCTAGCTGCTGTAGTGTCTATCCCTGGAGCAAGTTTGTTGGCGGTGGCTCACTTATTTTGTGGATACTTAGACAGGTGGGGGCGTGGATGGTATGTACGTCTTCCACCCCCACTACTGGTGACTCAGACCCAAGTCCCACTATCCCCACTAGAGACTGCTCTGGAGTGGATGTGACAGGCACAGCTATTGTGGAGTGGTCAGTTAGGTCACACTGCACTGCTTTGTTGTGAATCTGGTCACTACTCATGTCAGGTTCTCTTACGGCGCAGGGGCAAGGACCCCGACACAGCTGCCTGGAAAGCGCATCTGCATTTTGGTGAACTTTGCCGGGATGGTGAATAACGATAAAGTCAAACTCGGCCAACTTTTCTAACCACCGTGCCAGCTGGCCTTGTGGTTCTCAGTCTGGTCAGCCAGCGAAGGCTACTGTGGTCAGTACGGACAGTAAAGGAGCGGAATAGTAAATATAGCCTGTAATGGGAAGTGAAATCTACAGCTGCCAGGAGCTCCCTACGGGTTGTGCAGTAGTTTTGTTCATCTTCACCCCTTTTCGTACCAGTCCATCAACTTTGTTGAGACATGCCACCATTACATTGTTAGCAGTAGAAATTAAATGTTATTACCATTTCCAATACAAATGCATGTTAATGAAATTTATTATATTTGACAGGATATATTTGTGTTATTTTAACTAAGATGAGTGTTATTAATACAAACCTAAAATGTTACTGAAATGTAGGTCAAATATTAAAATTATTTTTTACTATAAATATCAGATGGGAAAAAGGGAACAAAACACCAATCTAATGCATATTATTGAGCCTTTCATAATAAGAGTCTGTTATTTCAGCCTGATAATTTTGTTGTTTTATTTCATATTTTTTTTAGCAGCAAACCAGTTTTGTTTCACTTGAATTGTTGTCAAATGGAATATTTTATTGATCAACAGAAGCTTAGATTAAAACACTTAACGAAAAAATATTTGGCCTTTAAAAAAGGGAGGCAGTTGAATGCACAGAGTATGCATGTGCTGGCACATGGCCAGGAAGGATGGTACCACCTCTGCCTCAATTTGAGCCAGGAAAACCCTGACTAATACACAGATCAGAGGAAAACGAATACAACATTTTTTAAA